CCACACAAACTCAAAACACACCTGTGCCATAAGAACCTGTAACCCTGTGCAATAATAGACCACAAACGCCAGTTCAGAGTATCTAATAACTCACGCAATACTGCATCACTTAAAAACGTTTAAGTCATAATACGGTATAAATAGGAAGGATAGCATTTAATAGTGTGGCGGAGAGGGAATGAGGGAAATGTCTTTGCTCTCTGCATAAAAATATCCTCTTAATTCTTTATCTCAAAGAGAACTGAAAAACAGGTAACTGTATCTGAGGTAACTGAACCAAACTTGCAGAATTTCTTTGCTTGATTTTCAAGGCACTTCCATTTGTTTCATCAAAGGCAACTTAGATGCACCTTTTGTCACCACTGAGTCTTTGGTTTTTTCCCAAAGTCCAAAAATCTAAAGCATGGCATCACCTCTTGTGAACAATCAGAAGAGTATCTGCACTATAGGCATACAAAATATATATCATCTATACATTATATACACTGAAAAGTGTGCACTAAATACACATACAAGTTGCATACGTGCCACACAAAGGTTTGTGAATGAACCACTTCCTTTTAGCAGCCTTCTCTTATCAAAACAGAGTAAACCACAGATGCTGTTACTGAAAAAAAGTCAAATTAAAAATTATCAAACAAAGGATTTTTGAGCCAATGTTAGAATGGTTATGTTCTAACTACTGCACCCATTAACGTGCAGATGCTACACACAAAGCAATACTATGGATGCTGTTCTGGAGAGATGTGAGAATGGCCCAGTAATCAAAATCCTGTAAAGATGTCAGTTTTACTGGACTTAATGAGTTTCCCTCACCAGACCCCTCATCATCGTCAGTCGCGGACTCCTGCATCTCCTCTGTGAAAGCCTGAGATTGGCGGGGGTTATTCTTGTTGTCTGAAACAGTCACTTGTGCTTGTGACCTCTCACCTGAGGTCTCTGTGTGCTGAACTGGCGTCGAGGTAGTTAGGCCCTTGTAAGAAATGTCACCTGTCTCATCTTCCTCATAGTCATTAAGGCAGTACACTTCGTCCAGGTCCAGGTCCAGGGTCCTGAAGCCCTTGGTGACAACCCCAGGCCTTGGGTCCAGGATCCCGCCCAGGTGAGGCTGAGCCAGCTGCTGCCAGTGGTGCAAAGTGGCAGAACCTTGAAAGGCAACAGAGATAACCAAAATAAATCAGTAATCAATCCAGGACCTAAAAGGCAGAAAATCCCACTTAAGTTTATCCAGAAGACCAAAGGCTTGGGAGCTCCAAACCTGTGACGTTTCTGGGTTTAGTATTTCTAGGCTTTAATATTTCTAGGAAGATACGCTACAAGGCAAAGCTGTTTCACCTACTCATCAGCATTTCCACATCAATATGAAACAAACTGATCCCATCAGCCCTTGGATAGGCAAAGTCTGGTGGTAAGTTGCGGCATACTTGTGCACGTGCACATCCCTGCCCCGTCAATATTCTCATCCCCCTGCATTCACGGGATTTAGCAGGAGTAGAAAGAATTTATATTTAACAGTTGATCTGAGCACCACTACAGAAAGCTCTCAGAGGAACACATACCACATATTCCCACATTACGCTCACACTAAGAAAGGTGCTGAAAATACACCAGAATTTGCGACTGGTGGCTAACAGGAGTACAGTAGTCACACAGATTGCACAGCAATTTCAGCTTTCTACCATACGTTAGAAAGCCACGTCAACATCAGGCACGTGTAAGCAGGTAATACCTCTCACCTATACATCAAGTCTAAATGCTTGTATGGCCCCTATCTGAGCCCCGACGCTACAGGAACTCAGTTACTACATGACTACATCCTACTGTACCTGTAGCTTCGTCCTTGGCAGAAAAATATTTTGAGTGAGGAAAGAAGTGCATTTTACAGAGAAAAGCATTCAATATTCAGTGTTCAACAGGAAACAATGAGTCAGAAACAGCAATGCATCAGGTTAAATTGATATATACACTGAGATGTGCTCATTGAAATCAGGGGAAGATTTATCCGATTCCTCAAGCAATTAAACATGTGCCCACCAATCTCCTCTGTGTTGTAATGTGTGACTTAAAACTATACATTCCAGGTCCTCCGGCACAAACAAAACATCTTCATTTCCATCTCTGCCAGCTCAAATCAGAGCAGTTTTTGTCGTCTTGTTCCTGCCCCTCTCCCCAAAGCGGCATACTGACTCGTTCAGCAAACTGGCAGACAAACGTCTCACCAGCGTTCAAAGGCAAAGAATGATCAATCCATTGCACAGTGTATGTAAAAATCTAAACCACCGTAGTAACTAGGGAAGGGATGGCTCTTACGGACAATATTCTGCGTGTCAGAAAAACCCCACGGAATGAGAAAAATTGTCATTTCACAATAAGGATATTTCATTACAGGAGGCTTATTGTAAATAGGAAGTGAGGAGGGAAAAAGTCTTTCTTTAGAATGACTGCGATCAGTGAGTAGCATTTTAAATAAGCCTATCTCACTTTTTAAAATCTTGTAATTTTTAGCTCAGAATAAATGGATCTGCTGGATTACTTTGGTTACTGATGTTATTTTTTCTTTCTTTTTTTTTTTTTCCTTTTATTTAAAGTAATTTCTGAGGGACTAAAGAGGATTGGGACCCTTGAAGATCAAGAAGTAGAAATCATTACAACCCCAAAATAAATAACTGTAGGGAAGAGACGTCCCTATAATTTGTATTTATTTCTGAATTGTCACAAAAGTCAAGTTTTTTGCTTCTAAAGAAAAGAAATATTCCAGCACGTGGAGAAGTGCCAGATACTGCCAAGCCTTAAGGAAGGAGTAGAGCTCTGCTGTATGGCAATACTCTTTAAAGCCAATAGAAATGAAAATTTCTTTCTGCTCTGCACGCAAATATAAAATCCTGTCACTAATTAACTTCCACATGCAAGCTTTTGAAGTTGTGATCTTTTTCACCTTAAAGCTCACCAAAACTTATACTTAGAAAAACTCTGGAGAGTATAAGCATTTAACTGATAATACATTATAGCTTTCCTACGGAAAGATATTCACCAGAATATCTGCATTTTGAGCTTTAACATTTCTATTGACACCACATGTTATAGGTTTCTTTTGGAAACTGGAAATCAAAGTGGCCTAAGCCTCATCACAAAAAGGAGGACATCTGAGTTTAATCTTGATCTCGTAAAATGTGTGTAAGGGAGCTTTAACTTTGCCATACAGAAAATTAACACAAATGCCGAAAGCAATGCAACAGTTGTAAACTCCCTTACGATTATTTTAAAAAAAAAAAAAAAGTGGCAAAAGTCAAATGAAGAGAGGAATACACCACCTTGGCCTATATTCAGTCCTAGGCTGCTACTAGACAGTTTTGTAAATTTTGTTATCAGAAAAAGTTGGCATGAGGGAGTTAGTGTGCAACAGTGGGACTGCCAAGCTGAAGCAAAAAGAAATAGAAGAGCAAAATAAGTACACGGATAGAGTAAATGAAATTTGTTTTTCTACTCCTGATATCTGCATGATTGCCTGTATACTATCGGGGTCAGAGAAATTCCTGTTGTGTTGCTGCCACAACTGCAGTGAAGTGGGTGAAGTCATAGTCAGTCCAAGGTTCCAGTTTTCCCACAGGACACAGGTGCTTATGCTATTTCGTGTTTATAGCACAACAAGCTGCAGACGCACAGCTTAAAAACAAACCAAACCAAAAAACCCACTAGGCTGTAACTAAAGCGAGTCACATCAAGCAGTCATTCTGTTCAACTAAAAAAAAGCAAAAGGTGCAAAAGAAGATTCATTTCTTAGTACTTCTGTCACCCTATTTCTTTTACTGTGGGATTTAAAAGATTGCTTTAAAGGAAGAAAAGCCATTAACCTGAAATTTATTATAGAACTGATTTTTATTTCTTCCATTTTATGGCCTAAGCACCCTTAAGAAAACAGGAATGAAAACCAAAGACACAACTACTGATAACAGTCTGCAGACTATTTTGCCCTAGTAGTCTGAAAGTATCCATCAAGTTGGGGAAAAAAAAACAAACCAAACCAAAACCAAACTCATGAAATATACTCAGGAAAGAAACTAAGCTGAAGTGAGGAACAGAATCATAAACATATATCTAATAAAAGGTAACAAACACTAAACTTATGAAACAGTTAGACACAAACATACTACAAATGAGATCTAAAACCAAACACGAGAAATACTTTAAAAGGTGCAATAATTTTAAGGAAAAAAATGATTCAGTGAGAACAATGAACAAAACCAGGAAAAAAACACCAGACAGATAGAAAGATGATAAAGACTTTAAGAGTTTATTAGAAGAAAAAAGCAGATATAATGGGATGGTGACAGAAATCTATTACAGTGGTAGCAACCAGTAACTGAAACAAAGTCGGATCATCCCTTCCCTCACGTGGTACCAGAATTTTTATGACCATTTAAAAGCACTCATGAAAACAAACTACTAAAATCTGCTAAACAGTATGGACTTGTGCGCTATGGCTATAGTTTCATTTGAATAGGTAGATACAGCACATCACTTTCTTCAGGACACAAGAAGGGTTATTTTTGCTTCTGAATGTGTGTCATGCTAAATGCTCCTTATAGATGAAATAAATTTGTTCTAAAAGATGAAAAAAAGGAACTTTTGCAATTAAAACACACACAGACAACATACAGTGACACAAGAGTTCTGTTAAAGGAAAAGAGAGAGAAACCAAAGCTAAATTATGTAACTAGTGTATCTGTGAAGTTCTATAGGAAAACAGCTTCATTTTGTTTAAAACCTGAAGGAATTTACTCAACTAACTTCCAGCAATGACCTGAAAGGACTGAAGAAAGCCAGGCAGGCTAGGTGTATATGTCTGTCAGCTTTGTTAGACTACAGAAATGCTCCTTGAAATAAAGCTCTAGCTACCACCTACCTATATCTTGCCTTTTTCTGAGACCATATATGGAAGAAATTTGACTTTGAAAAAAACCACCACCAAACGATTTCAAACCTGAAACCCAAAGCCATAGAGACACATGTGTGGTCACTCAAACAGCCGATTAAAGTCCAGAGGTCATTTTTAATAAAAACATATTCTTATTAGGCCAACTGGACTATTTGAAGTAGGTAAAGGTCTTTCCAGACACTTATTTGCAGAACTGAGATTTGATGAACTAATTCTCCTGCTGCTTAGATTTCAGATACCCAGTCACCTTCCTTTTCTAAGTGTGAAATGGCAACACTGAGATTTAGGTCAGACGTAAAGCTGCACTGCTGCTGCATGTGTGGTCGGTAACATTTATTTTACTGCCTGGGCTGGAATTGTTTCCTAACATTTTAAGGCTTGTGGAAAAATGTAGTAGTTAGAAGATTTCAAACCAACAGCGTGGATTACTGTCTCTAAAGTAAAAAGAGTATGTATTGCAAAGATTTCCTGCTTTCTGGTGATGGATAAGAGACCACAGAGAGTCACTAAGAAGAACAGATAAAGGCCGAGGCCCTTTGTTATCACCTTCTAGTGGTTTCACAATCTGAAGCTTTTCTGGCAGGTAGGAGCGACTGCTGATAGACATTCCTGAATATCCAGTGAATTCTGAAAATCTGGAGTGAGTTCCCAGCGACATGATGCTCTCTGTGGGGGTAACGGAACCACTATGGAGTTCACCCTTTTCTGCCAGTTCCCGCAGCTTTCTTTCCTGCTCTTCTTCAAAAAACTTGCGCTCTGAGAGGTAATTCTCCCGCCTGAGGGACAGTCTACGAAGGGCAGTCTCCAGGTCACTGGAGCCTGGGGTCCCTGGAGTTCCAGGCTTCTTCATCCTGTCTTCATTTCTAAGACATAACAGGGAACACACACACACACACACACAAAAAAGGAAGAGGGGAGGGAGAAAAAGAAATTCTTAGAGTTGCTTAAAAGTTCCACGTGACAGTTTTGAGACATTCACCAGTACCTTTAAATTACTATGTCTGGGAACAACTTGCTACTTCTCTGGAGAGCTCAAAACGCAAACACCAATATTTTCTTTCGCTTTCATACTAAAACCGTTTTGAATCCTAGTTCCTGCCTGGAAACTCCTGGTTGGAAAAGCTGCGCCTTACTTAAGAGCTTTCTCCTAAACAGAGATGAAAGAGATCTACTTGTTGTGTGTCTCTTACGGTTACACAAACTCAAGTAAGCAGGCCACATCTTACAGGGCCAACGCTGCAAGAATACCACAATGAGCCACATAGGTATATTATGCTGACAAATATTCATTGTTTTGAGATATTAAGTAGTTTTTACTGGAAAGTATACACAGCATAGTGGGGAGCTGTACTGGGGGAAGGGACAAGTAGCTAGAAGAGCAAAGTTCTGATTGGTTTCATTCACAAGTTTTCATACTGGGTAACCTACACACACACTTCGTTTATTTATTTTTAGGATCAAAAGAGTTAGCTGTAGCTGCAACTTAGATCAGAACTCATTGGCATTAATGCAAAATGGTGAAAATATAGTTAGTTTTAAGTGTTGGCTCACAGTTGCAAATACAAAGGGTGGTTTTACATCATCTGGTAAGGCTGCATCTCAGAACAGGCGCGAGTTGCAGACACTGATACACAGTACTTTCAAAAAGCTTTCCTTTTTAAATAAGCTTGAGCACTCAAGAACTATAAGCGCAAAATAAAGTAACTTTTGAAGATGTACGCCACTGCGTTAACTTCACAACGTAATACAAAAAAAGGAAATAGAAATGCTGCCTTTATGTCAGAAACAAAACAAAAGCAAAGTCCAGTGTTATAGTACTGACCCATTGTCAGAGGATTCTGTCTCTAAGATGATGCTATTGGTCTTGTTATCTATCATAATGTTAGAGATGTCTCCCCCATAGAAACTGGAACGTGGAGTGCTGACACAGCTAGAAATGACTGAGTTCATAGCAGAGGACTGGTTAGAGCCTGGGATATTCATTGGTGATGGAGTCATGGACCTCTGCTTGACAACTTGGTTAACATTTCTCACTGTCTCGAAGACCCGCTTCTGATGACTGCAAGACATAGACACAGTTAATAATCACACAGTGCCCTCTTGCCTATGGAAGGAACAGAGAAACAGGTAACAGCTTGTTAATGGCCATTCCTATTCACATCTCCACCAGCTACCTTGTCTTTATAGTTTCTGTAGAGCAGTTGCATTGGGTCCCACACTTGCTACAGTCTGGCCATTACATTCAATCCATCAACATAATACTTACATTATCCTGGAATATTTTAGACAGAACATTTGAGAATTATATGCATGGACCCTCTCAAATATTAAGAAAAATTAAGTGAAAGAGTATTTAAGTACATCAGCTAAAAACATCTTAAAGCTATTGTGTGGAAATGAGTTTTTAAAAAACAAAACTGATCTCCATTCAATTCTTAACTGTGAACTGGCTAATCCATTTTAAAAGAGAATTTGAATTTACTCTACTGAGTGTCTCTATGCAAGCAAGTCTTGTATCTTTTCTTTTTGAAACCAATTTCCGATCCCTTTAAATAACATTAAAAAAAGTTAAAAAAAACCAAACCAGAAATATAATGGACCAAGAGTCCAGAGACATGCTGTCAAGGCGGGAAACCTACAGTTCATTCTTTATCACCATTGTTCTGGTATCATAACAAACACTGTTCAACTGCTTCAAAATTAAGATCAGATGACGCTTCAGTAGAAATTTCTTGACACAATAAACTTGCCCTACATCATGCTACAGAAGTGCTGCTGCTGCTTTGTTTTCCAGTTCAGCAATGGCTGCACACAAGAACAGCACATGCCTCCCAGCCTGAAGGTAACACTGCCGGGTTGTAACGACAGCATGCCTTGTGCTATTTAATGTCGTTCAAGTCGCTTTCCTTCTCTCCACAAGTGCTCAGCAGTTGCGATCTTTGTGTGAAGCCTCCCAGTCTATAGCTGTATATCTTTAAGAGGCTGAATCTAAGAGCATCTATCAATAAACAGCCCCACAGAGCTTACAGTTACTACTGCTGAGCAAATAAATAAAACCAAGACAAGCCATGAAACCAAAAAAGGGTATCCTTCTTTGGTACATGCATAGCGATATAAAAGACATTCTAAAGAAGTTCAATTATCCTTACGCTAGGTTGCTCTGGAAAGACAAAAGGGTCCTATGGTGTTTGAGCAAGCTCACACCTTTCTGATCCTACATTTTTCTAATCAACATTTCACTCTGTCAAAGCCTCATTCACGATTCTTGGCTCACGCTCAGACAAGGTTTAACTAGGTGTCAACGTTTTTGTAAATATACTTGGAAGGCTTCTGGAAAATGGTTACTGTACCTTCCCTGACTGTCCTTTCTTTGTAAACTCTGCTTCTCTAACAGACCCTCTAAATAGGATTAACTTGTTTCAAATTAACCAGTCCATGCTTTGGACAAATAGGTGAGATAAACTTATTGGAGTACACGTGCAACTGGTGCCAGTGAGGCCATTTCTGCCAAGCTGTAACTATCTATAGCTTTTGGACTGTCACAAGTACTTAACTTGTTTCAAACCACACTCTTGTTTAATTCAAGAGAACTTCAGCACAGGCGTAATGGGCATCACACTAAGTACCCCACCACTCTGAATCTCCTTCTGCACTGACGTTCTCCCTGTAAAAACTGGATTAGGTCAATAATTACCTGGTAATTTCTGTTATAAAACCTGAAGAGAGAACCTGAGGAATTGAACTCATCCCCTAATCATTAACTGAAGAAACCTAGCATGGTAACACACAAGAAAACAAATCTTTTCTCATTGTCAGCACTCAAGAATGAGGACAAAAAGTTCATAAGGCAAGGTAAAACCTGTATATAGGTGTTTTCTTTTGGTAGCCTTAGCAGACAATATAACCACTCCAATAACCAGACAATCTATTTTCCTTTGTCTCTATCATTCACACTTTGCCAAAAAGATTTCCTTCTAAATCCCTAGCTCAACTATTTCCTGTCTTTTCCTTTCTTATCAAATAATAATTAACTTCAGATATAATCAATCCATTAGGAACCAATTCTTTTCAGTCGTACGCCAAGTCAGGAGAGTCGGGTTCATCTAAATGCAGTTCTTTCCTCATTGACCCTTCTATCTCTGCTGCCAAAGAATCCTGTTAAAAAGAAGCACAAAGGAAAAACAAATACCATAGTATTAATAGACTGTCATTCCAGAAAATAATTAATTACTTATATAAAATAATTAATAAGGTGTCATTCCAGAAAAAAGAAGGTTTAAAAATTAAAACTGACTGGAAAGATGGAAGACTAATGAATATACCTAAATCACTGACAAATTATGGCTTAGCTTCATACTGCTACAGTACTTACCATTTGAAGACATATAACATCTGTCAAAGATCCTAAAAATACATCACAAGCAACAACAGAATTCAGGTGCCCCAACTTCCCAGACTAAATTCCCTGGTCAGTAACACCCTCCTTTCATGTATAAGTTTTGCTTAATTTGTTTTAAAATAAACAGAAAACACTCTTCCCTTTCACAATATTATCCACCTACTCACAAAAAAGACATGGTTCTCGGCATAAAGCATTATATACTTCGCCCATAGGGTTCAAGGTGACAGGCTATCAATTTTCCACTGCTGGCCAGTAAGTTTTACTGCCTAACTGTAGTTAAGTGCAGGGTCTAAGTGTCAAACATTCACAAGTCTAAATGATCTTTGGTCCCACAATGTGACATTTGGAAATCATTTTCACACAAAACACATAAACCTATCTCAGCACAAGCATACTTTTTGCAGCTTTCAACTGTATTTGTGCAAGGACAACCTGTATTATTAAATGTCTGTCCTTTAAACTGGCCTATGTTCAGTCTCAGAAGGCAATACAAAAAGGCAAGCTAAGCCTCTGTTGACAATTTACTTCTTGTGAGCACAAATATAATCTGTGGTCTTCCTCAGCGGTAAGATGAGACACGGCTAAAGACAAGGAGGGCCAGATTCTGCTGCTTGATTACATTAATGTAACCCAAAAGAAACTTCACTGATATCATTGCCCTCAGAAGTAATGGAATTATTCCAGAGATACCCAGGCAAGCAGAGCCAGGCACTGAACTTACCCAGACATTCTCATCCATTCTTTTTCTTTTCTCATTTGGTTGAGGGTACTGCATAGTCCCCATGCTTTAAACGTGCAATATCATAATCAAATGAAACTAAGTAAACCAAGTTAGTAACACCAGTGACACTGGCATAATTGATGTTGCCATAATACATATTAGCAATAAAGATTATTTTAATGAACCACTGAATTTTCTATGGTCCTAAAACAAGAATATATGCATAACCTATTAGAGTACTGAAGAACTAGAATGTATATCACAAGTGACTAGACGGATGCCATGTCTGGAAACCATTAGTTATGATACCAGGAAGCTGCATCTTCAAGGATATTGGAGAAAAACAGGAAGCTCCTACTGAAAATCAGCTGCCACAGTACAGGAGATGCATAACAAAGATGTATGGAACTGTGTAACAACCTATTAATGCTACCCATGATTCACAGCATAAGCACAGCCAGCCGCAGGTTGTATATAATACTGCAGCAAAACCAAGTAACTGCACAGCACCGTTTCAGAACCAGGTACGCAAAATTGATCCCTCGGGTATCCTTTAACACTATATGAATACAGATTTCACCTATGCTCAAGTCTGGCCTAGCACCCTGTCCCTGAAGCCCTAAGTCAGATGCAAATACATTTCCTTTGGTCGGTTGTTTTCTGGTGTGTGCAGGGTTTTTTTCTTTTCTTAAATCTGCTTACCATGGGGAAGAGACCGAGAGAGTGGTACCGACGTGATATGGCATTTGGCATAGTCTTGTTTCTAAGGTTTTTCAGCTCTTCCTGAGCCTCATGAAGCATTTCCATGCACTCTGCATACTTGTCTTCCAGCTCTCTCAACTGTAACATACAGAAAACAGTCCAAGACCTCATGGGCTGCACTATCATTACAAAAAGGCTGCAAATTCTTTTAACACTGGTAAAAGATAATGGTGT